GAAGTACTAGTAGTACTAGTAGTAGAAGTAGTAGTAGTCGCAGTAGAAGTCGAAGTAGTAGTAGTAGCAGCAGTAGTAGTAGTAGTAGTAGTAGTAGTAGTAGTAGTAGTAGTAGTAGTAGTAAGAGTAGTAAGAGTAGTAAGAGTAGTAAGAGTAGTAAGAGTAGTAAGTGTAGTAAAGGTAGTAGTAGTAGTAGTAGTAGTAGTAGTAGTAGTAGTGGTGATAGTAGTAAAGGTACTGGTAGTAGTAGCAGTAGCAGCCGCAGCAGCAATCGTTGTTGTTGATGGTGGGGGTGGTGGTGGTTCCAAGGCTTCCTTTTCACTCGTCGTTCGTCGGTTAGCCTTCGAAGATTCATGCTCAGGTCTCTAGCACTGGCTGAGAAAGCCGTGTCGGATGCGCTGACTTCGGCAAGGTGCCGAGTGCATGATTTCTTTTGCATATGATAATACTCGATTCCGGAGCTGAGGCTTCTTCAATAGAAGCTTGGGTGCTGAATAATGTTTCAGGTCCAGTAAGGCAGACGTGATCATCTTCATAGTGAGACGTCAGCAAAAGATCCTATTCAGCCTTCTGTTTCCTCACCCCCTCCCAAACTTTCACCAGCCACCATTGAACCGGCCCCACTGCCTCACCGAGCCTGAATCGACGCTCTCATGCTTCTAAACTTGGAGTCGGGCTTGTAGGTGGCAGAGTTCGAAACCATCGCCGAATCCCCTCGAGCAGCCATCTGCCCCGCCAGGCTTACAGGTGAGTGAAACTCCGTGGATGAACATCATTCTCTATGCGCTCCCTCGCACTCATGGCAAATGCCCAAGTTCAGACAGCATTGAGAGCTGACCAAGCTCAGACCTCAAAATAAAACCCGATCACAAGATCAACTCCTTCCAAAACCCTAAAAGTCACGGCACTGCTCCGAGTGAAGACCTCTGTGCTCAGCCAAAAGGTCTGCGAGCTTGGGCTGGGACTCGGATTGCAGGGTTTAGGGTATCAAGGATCCTCAAAAATCAGTCATTGACACTGTTCCTTGCACTCGGGAAAAAGTTCTGATATACAAGAAGATGCCCTCAAACCTAGTTCTCATAGTCGCACGACTCCTGATCGTATGTTGGACTGTTCCAGTGCCCTCAACATCCAAAAGCCGAGAGTTCCACGCCGAAAGAGTCCAGCAACCACCCACCGTGATGATGCCTTGGTTTTGGGATTCTGCCAGTTGTTTGCAGAGCACCTATACTCTGCAGTGATGTTTGCGGTTCGGCTGGTTGCCTTGTTTGTTCCTTGCATCGGGATTTGAGCTATGGTGCTGCGTCCTCTTGTCCATAGACGATGCGGCTGTGCTCTCGCGCTTGCGATTATCATGAACTTGTCGTTCGGAAGTCACTTGCTTTTGAGATTTGGGTGTTGCGTTCCCTTCCTGAACTCTGCCGGGGAATAGACCGAAACCAACGCAGCCTCACAGCCTCTTCTAAATCTAAACCTGGGACCGATGCCTAGGCGAACATGCACAACATATGAGCACCAGCAAGGCTGAAATCAGTATCAGAACACACCAGAAACACTCGATTCTAGCTTATCTTGGTGACCTTGGTGTTTAAAAAGCAGGTCCGGGGCCCTCCGCATGTCCCGGCGTATTCAATTCGGCCCTTCCGCGAGGGCTTAGCACCTAGGGCCCTAGGTGGTGGCACCAGCCCAAACATGTGCTAGGAGGTTTGCCGTGAGTGTGAGCCCGACTCCATAACTCACCCTGATCGCGCAGCTCTGAGACCTAAACATTGAAGTCAACCCCACACTATTCACTGTCCCTTTTCGCACCAACCTCTGTTTGAGCAGCATAGGTTGGTGCTAAGTTGTGAGATGTTTAAACAAATGATCTGATAGTAATCCTGATGGCAAGTATATACAGAAACCTCAGTATGCATGCATCGTTCTTGGTTTGTTTGGAGGCAAGGCCAAGACACGGCATTCAATCAGTACACAACATAAGGCAACACATCTGCAAACATTGCATAGACATCACCCCAAACCCCTAAACTCTCCTGCCCTGTGCGAGCGTGAGAGTCCAAACCCTGAACTCTACGCAGAAAAGACTTTGAGAGTTCTTGTGGAGGCCGGCGCAGTTCCGAAGGACGCAGTGGATGTGGCTGTTACGTTTGGGAGTGGGTGATGGGTGGGGCTTAAGCCGTATACTACATTCCTGAATCCTCAGCCCAAAGGTCAAAGGCAAATAGACGCTGTTTATAAACTGCAACACTTACCCAAAGCTCCAGAGCTCTACGCGCCTTCAGCAGAAGATCAGCTCCACTTGCTTGAGGGCCACTTCGTGCTCCCTCTGCTTGAAGTCGTGCATCCATGTGAAGTACATGATGCTCTCACCATTCGCAAGCTTGTCAGTCACGGCGCAGGGTGAGGATGTTGATAATCTTCAGGCTCGGGCTCGTAGACAGGGCCGCACCCGAAGCCAGCGCTGCAACTCGGAAGGGGCCTGGGGAAGGTACCTCAACAGAAGCCTTGACCCAAAGGTCCCCCAATACATAAAGCATCAGAGTCGAATGTCTAGAGCATATTCGTAGCCCTAAATCCGATCATGCAGAACTTTAAACATGCACAGGGAAGGTCAGCACCCGTAGATCCCACGAAGCTTCGCAGCCCGAGCTCACACACGTTTGAAGCCTCACTCAAACTTTAGATGTTTTCTAGCTGTGACGGAGCCACACCGAGATTCTGGAACTCTTGAACTGTGCGAACCCTACCTTGGACATGCTGAAGCCCTTTTAGTCATGCTCGCACCTCCATACAGCGCAGCTATGTTTGGTTATTTTTTGTCACATGCCTCCTATACCCTCAACCCTAGTTACTTCTATTTACTATGACAATGAGGATGTTTTAAGCTGAACCCTGAGCCGCCCACAGCCCCCTTGCCATTTGACTCTTGATAACTACTCCTTGCTGTGCTTACCAAGGCAACTACTATTCGGTCTCGCAACATGGTCAGCATAATCGTGGCTACTGACAGGTCCCATTGAAACATTTCGGCTCAAGCCCACCTTTTCTGGGGTGGCGCCTTTTTGCATAGTGTACGACTTTACTTACTGTGTCGCAAGCACACCGCGCCCCGGACATTGAGTTTGAGGGTCGATTTATGTGGATGGATTTATAGACAGGGGTTGCGGGAAGAGGACCTGCTAGTACATATTGTGGTGGTGTGGTGTTTCTATTGTTTTTGTCACGGAAAGCATAGCACTTCACGCTCCGAGCGCAGGAGCTAGTTTACCGACTGTAAGGCGAGGCTTTGAGCTTTGAATCTGCTTGTTAAAGTGCAATGTGAAGCCTTAGCAAGTCAGTGCTGAAGAGCCCGACTCTGGTGCATGTACCGTGTGTTGACATAAGCCGTGCCGTGTATGCTCTTGATTAAAGTTTTGTAGCGCCACGGAGTGGCAGTCTCATGACATCGTGACCTGCTCCATCCAGCAGTAACTCAATAGACGAAGCCCGGATTGCGGAATCCGCCAACCCATGCATTCCAAGCCCTGAGCCCCAAAAAACACTCTCAGGTACGAGATTTCGATATGATGAGGTGCAGCAGCGTACAACCGAAACCTGAATTTGGCATTCCGGTCAAAGGTTACCCCATGGGATTTGCAAGAGTGTTCTGGCGGCTGAACATTTGGGACGCAGGGAGTTGTGTTTCGGATTGTGTGACGGGACGACAAGCACTACGTACAGAACTTGAGCAGGCGCTTCGACTGTGCGAAGCCTAGACTCGCGATGCCAGGCCCTGGAACCCGGAGTTGGAACCCTTCAAGTACCGAACCCTAACTCCACAAGTTGGCAGATGTATACATACAAACAGAGATCAGAGATGCACCAAGATACGAATACACACGTTGTAACACGCGCATGATGCACGCATTACTGCATGAATGGATGTATGCATCCATCAGCCCATCCGTTTTTCTGTCTATCCATCCACCCCTCCATCCATGCATCCATCCATCCAAGAAGTCCATGCATGCTTGTATGTACATACAAGAGTGGCCGACGGGAGTTCGTCCGATGCTTCTGGCAGTAGTCAGTAGTCACTACCTCAGTAGTCTGGGATGTCACACCCTCAAGGTACCTCAGGATCAGAGGCTTACTGCTTAGGTTGCAGATCTTTGGGGTTTGGCGCTTGCGGCTTAAAGGGTTTCTTAAGATCTCCGGGGGGGGGGGGATCGAATCTCGATGTTTGTGCGTCTGCTTCTTGCACCGTGGGCCGTGTACCATCGGCCTGGTACTTCCCTTACGAGGCGTGTATGCCGAATGTGAATTCTGCAATCCTCATGTGATGTGTTCATCGCAACATGCTACACTGAACCCCGAGCACAACCTGTACAGGAAAGAGCGTGAAACAAAAGTTTGGTGCACTCATGTCCTGTTCACCCCCGTAGTATTTGGTGGAATCGACGCATTCGACGAAGCCCTGAATGATCGATTGAAATCGGCCACGAGTGCGAGAAGAATGAAAGTTGAGCTGAAGGCACTTCATCCCTGTAGCAGCCACTACACTATACTAGTGCTATATACCCTAATACCCTAAAGACCCTGATATACTATACTGACAACAACATCGTAGCCCAGAAACGGAAGAGGCTTCTGGCCTTGACTTTGGCGCTGGGAGCAACAGTTGCATCACTGGCGCAGCAGGCCATTGCTGAAACCGTCGATCCCAAACCTTCACAAACCTACTAGTTCTGTTGGTTTTGGTACTACTAGTACTATTAGCATTGGTTGCAACAGCCTTGTTTAAAGGAGCCCCAAACAGACCTTGTCGGCCCGTGGTTGATAGGATTGGGCGAGCCATTGCTTTTGCACTGCAGCCTACTTCAAACAGGACATCGACCCTTTCCTAACTTGTCGTCGGTATGTAGCTTCGTCCAGCTTCGTGAACACACTATCGTATGTTTGTTCCATTTCGTGCTCATCCCACCGACTCGCAGGTATCGACGGCACAGCATGTACCTATTCGTTCATCGCCGTGCGTGAGATGCAAATCTCGGACCCAAGACATCATGATGTAGTATGATTTGTCTTGCTTGGAAGCGCCGTGCTTCGCCGATTCCCGCGTTGCCATGCGACAATGGCAGGAAGACTGTGCGGACGAGCCCGACAACTTTTCCAGATTGTCGGAAGTCCCCCAGAGTGATTTAAGTGAGACAACGCTGACACGGAATACTCTTCTCTTCTCAGCGCTGAAAGCCCGATTTTCAGATGTTCTGGTTGTTCATCCTGTTCTTTATCATTGAGGTTGAGTATCTACTATTATTATATACCATGTTCTTTGTTCGCCTGGGTCACTGCTTGCTGCTGTATATGCAGCCCTTTGTTGCTGGAATTGTTGTTCTGCTCATTACCAGTTTTATTTCGAAGATGATGTTTCAGAGTGTTCGTCCGTACTTCACTGATTGTTTGACTATTCTTTGCTGGCCCTCGTTCCTGGGGTTACGTGTGGCGAGTGGTGTTAAGTGTTTGTATGCCCGTGTTTGTGTGTGTGTGTGTGTGTGTTTGTCCTGCTTGTTCTGTTGACAATACCGTAGTGCCGTGACCTTGCCATCAGTGCCACCAGAGGCCGCAGAGTCACTCGCTTCAGACATGTGAAAGGTGACCTGCTCTTCACCTTATGAAGACCCTGGCTACTTGTTGTCTGGTTTACCCATGAGTGCTGCAAGTACGGCTATGGTCATTGTACTGATAAGGCTGGTGGTGACCAGTTAGAGTCGGCAGAGCAGTAACCCCGTGAAGATGATGATGAACCCCCTGAAGGTGATGATTCAGATGAGGAGGGCAATGACGATGACGGCAATGACTCCAAACGTATGCCGTATGAACCTAAAGATCCGTGTGTTTCTTCATCGTGCTGCTATAGACCGCGTCATCAGATCAGCACCCTGGGGGATGTGCAGGCCTTCCCCACTTTAGGGGGATGAGTTATCTCCAGAACGACGGGTCCAGTCCGCACAATATGGCCTAGCTGAGAAGTCGCACTCTCACAGCGTTGGGATCTTCTGAGCTGTTAGACCCCTCAACACTTTGAGCCGTTGAGACATGATCCCCAACGCTTGAAGATTGCATTCCTCTGTAAACAAAAGTCAAACAAAATGACACTTTCGCAACAGTGTGCTCTCAACCCAGCTCGGCCTTACGTTTACGATGTCCCTCAGTCTCCCTAAACCTTATAAGCCTTAAACCCTAGACCCCAATGTGCCTGTCAAGGTCAGTCTCCTCCAGTCACACACCGTGACGCATGCAACGACCTTCGGGCAGCATGGGCCGCGTGCCTGTCAACATCTTTGTTATTGGGGTATATTTATACTATCATAGAATACCGAACTTGTTCAGTGACTATAACTGGACAAGGTTGCTGTGCCATGCTGTGTGCCGAATTAGCAGTAGTCGGTTCGCATTTGTTCACGGTTTTGTCTGCAATGCTGCATTACAAACTTATGCGACTGCGCAGAATGCACGTGTGTTTGCGCGAAGACGTGCACGCACATGTTCCTCCTCTGTCCCTCTGTCTATCTCATCCCTGCCTCTCCCCATCGACTTGCTGTGCAAATGTAGAAGCTTGTGCATTTCTACATGCATTTGCACATCGGGGTGTCAAGCTTCTGTGTGTCCTGGCGATCTAGTCTCTGTCTTGTTTAACCGGGGTTCTGCAGACCAATTGTTGAGTATACAGTATATGAGTTCATAATCTGATCGATTATGACATGAGTGTTTCTGCAAGTCTTGCGAAGATCGGATATCATTCTGTTTTTTATGAAACAGCAGCTTTAGAACCACCTCACAGAGAAGACAAAGCAGGCTTCGAAGTTTAAGGCTTTGCGTTTCTGGTAGGGCTTAGGCATCGGATTCCGACAAGGTCTGCGGGATGTGCCATGCACCCGCGTAACAAACACATTGAAGCATTGATTTTTCCGTTTCTGTTTGATTCCCGTAGCTTCGAAAGCCTCCACAGCCGCGAACGCGTAATACAACTGTAGACTTTAGAGCTTTAAACCCGCAACTTCCAGCATTGAAGCCTGAAGGCTTCCAGAACCTCGAAGCCCCAAAGCAAAGGCTCGGACGCAGTGCCGTGGAGGCAGCTACAGGCGCGCCGGAGATTTCAACACTTGACCCAGCGAAACAATGATTTTTGGCCACGCCTTGAGAGGGCGAAGCCGTGCTCTACGTGTCGGAATAACAATGAACAGTATCCCCTGATAGCCCCATACAATCATAGTCGATAACCCCAGCTCCCAATGTCATGGCCTTGGAGCTTTTTTCGCAGGAATACCCCAGTCCCGGACCCTGAACCATGGATGTTTTTGGTGTTTGGCTTATAAGGTCAGAGATGTACTGAGCAAGTTACCCAGGGCTTCGGTGGAAATTTGCTCTGTGCGGTTGTTTGGGGAATTACTCTGCGGGATCCTTACATATATTGAGAATTCAGTTATGTCGCGCCCGTCCAGGGAAGCTCGGCGGAACGGATGCAGTCCGAGTGGATGTTATCGTATGTGGGAGTAGTTAGCATGCGGAAAGGATGCAGTTCAGTCCGGGTGGAAGGCAGGTATGGAAAACCCGCAGCCGGAGTGTTATCATGGCTTGGGCATGCACACTCTTGCTAACCTCAAAACTCCGCTGCCGGAATTCGTGCTTTACTTTACATGGACTTGACTTGAGCATTCAAGAGGGGGAGAAGGTTCAGGAAAAGCCCATGACTCCTTTCGAGTCATGAACCCAATACGTTAGTTAAACTCTTGTAGGCCGTCGGTCCTTGATCGGCTTTGGATTTGACGCCTTAGTTTGCTACTAATGGTGATGCTAGGAATGCCCCTTACCTATCCTGTTTTGTTTTAGGTGGGCTCGGCCTGCCTGTGGCCATTACCGTTGCAGCGGCCATTGCGCGGCTTGGTCTTGCAGGAGTAGTGGGCAGGCACTGAATTAGGTTCATGCGGTATACCCGTAACAATTCATCTCTGAAGCGAACAGTCACAGGTTTCTTAGACTCCCTCTGCCAGACCCCCCCAACAAATTTCGAGCTATTTTGAGCCAGCAGTGGCTAGTGCACCCAGATGCTTCTCGAGGCAGAAGAAGGCAAAAGGAACATCAATTTGTGTCTTGTGTCTTTGTGGTTCTTTATGTCTCGCATTGTTTTGAAATGCTTCGAGTTGTATCGACATGCCTCGACTTTAAATTAAATCACTCGATTTGCTGTTGCCTGAGCAAGGCTCAAGAAGCCTCGGCACGCTCTTTTGACAGAGAAGCAAATCGAGCGATTATTTTGAGTAGAGGCATTTCGATACATTGACATGTCGATTCATGTCGAAGCATTTCGAAACAATACGAGACAGAAAGACACACAAAGACACAAATTGAGCACTACTGTAGCCACGGCTGGGCTCAAAGTAGCTCGGAAGCTATCTCTGTTTTGGGGGGTGGTCTGGCGGGGCAGAGACAAGGTTTCGAGATTCCGGACATCTGCACAAAATTTGGCCTCCTTCGAACCCCACGTCCAAATTCGCCGAACCGCCCAAACCTGGCCTGGATCGGCTTCTGCAACATCAATTATGAAAACAACAAGCTGGACACATCGTTAGAATCGCAAGCTACGTCCGAAACACAAGGACTGAGTCCCAAACCTTCCAAGATCCGGAGTCCAGCCACTGGAACCCCAAGAAAGCCCTTCAAGACATAGCAAAACCCCACACCTCTTTTGTAGCTCAGGCTCTTCGTGCTCGACAAAACCTATGAGTCGGTCCAGGCGTGATGAAACCGGGGTTTAAGTGTTACGGCTTAGCGGTCGACGGGTCATCTTCTGGCAGCCAGCGAACCGAGTTTCAAAAAGGGTTTAGGGTACAAGGTTGCTGTGTTCGACACTAGTCTAGTCTACCTTAAGGGTTGGATTTATTATACCTGTGTGTTTCTGATGTAGGCTGACGCTTGGGTGACCGCGTTTTCGGTGTCATACTGCGGCGCCTACTTATTTGCTTCCTTGCCTGCCTGCCTGCCTGCCTGCCTGCCTGCCTGATTACATACTTACTTATCTACCTGCCTGCGTGCTTGCTGGCTTTTTTGCCGTACATACCGCCTACCGTTGCCTCCAGACAGGCATGCAGACGTCCGTACAAATAAACACATACACACATATATACACATATGTATGTACATACATACATGCATGCATGCATACATACATGCATGCATACATACATGCATACATTCATAGACACACAGACAGTGGCATAGGTATACTTACATAGCCACTTACATACATTGGTACGTAAGTAAGTACACACGTACGTACATACACAGGCATACATGCAAACATCTAACAGAGGTGCATAGCTATACGTACATGCATACGCACATCCATTCATCCATCGTCTGTTCGTCCAGCCACCCATCTGCCCGCCGGTCTGTCGGTCGATGAATGCAGTTGTGCATGCGTATGTGTGCATGCGCATGTGTGCACAAGCTTCAGAAGTCTGTTCTCGCACGGTGTAAAAACGTGACAAGCGCATGTGGAAGCAGCATGTTTCGTGGTGCATCTAGAACCAAAATTCCGGAAACTCTAAGCTTGCAAGGAGTACTCGGCCATCTTCGCAGAGTTTCTGGGGACCTTCGCTCTCGCAGCCACCTCAGTGCCATAGAACTACAGGAAGTACGCACCAGACAGAAAGAACTAGATGCAACGATGTTCGTCTTCATCGTCATCATGCTCCCCGCCATCACCCCAAACAACGCCTTATTCCTCGGCATCGTCTTCATTGCCGTCAGCATCATCGAGAGCTGAAAGATGTGCGGTTCCGGCGTTTGCACAGCTCAAGGTCTCAGCGAGGTAAGCCCACAGTCTGCTACATTCTCGGCGTGTTAGCCGTTCTGAACGGACACAGTAAAAGTCCTTCAGCCCGAACCACTAGGCCCTTAAATGTCTCTAAGCCGCGAATCCGTCAACTTCGAGCTTGCAGGCCCTATGAGGCCTAAGCCCAAAGCCCTGCCGATTGTAGCCGCCTGAAGCGCTAAAGACTTTGCTCCAGACCTCTTTCGAGAGGGCTTTGTCGGGCCAAAGCTAGGCCTCGTTGGCGTTCGGCAGGGCAGTTCCCTAAATTATCGGAGTTATGATACAATGCTATCTGCGGATAATAAGGCCTTGAGGCCAGTCCCTGTAGGTCTTGGCGATTTCAGTCATTGGTGGCTCGACCCATGTATGTTAGCACTACCCACGGCCCTCAGATTCGATCCAGACCTGGTTTTCAGGAGCTCGAATCCCCATAGCCAATAACAGTAATGCTCCGATCCGAGGTCTTTACCGTGGCCTGCTGCGTGGCCACCGGCAGCGCGGTCTGGAATGCCACGGCGATTGCATGCGTACCTCCTCGGAATTGCGCAAATTCCGGCTAGGGAGGGTCGTGCAAAGCTCTGTCCCGAGCGGCTCCGAAACCCCGATGCAAAAGGGACAAGGAATACGGTTCGGGGGTTTGGGGGGTACTCTGCCTCACCCCCTGTGTGAGCCGATAAACGCCCAGAGACCCTGCATCTGTTTGGGGCTTAGGTGTTCCTGCGTGCCCTGTGGCAGGGTGGCACATGGGCTTGTTCTAATCCAGGCCTGCGATTCAAGTGTACGATTCAAAGAAACACCTACACACTTGCTTATGGGGTTCTTCAACTCGCCTGGAACTTTGCAGAATGCCAAGTGTGTTTTGCAGAATGCCAAGGGGACATAAAAGTCAATGTTGTTTTATGCGTCGATCTGTGTCTAAATCTATTACTGCAAGCCTCCGCCCATCAGCAGTTGGGATGGAAGTAGAGCCGTGACAGGAGATAAGCATGGCCAGGCAAGAACGACCCTAGGGCCCCAGACAGTGAAATGTACCGCTTTTGATGGTTTGGTAAATTAACCCAAGGCAAAAGGCAACATGTTTGAAAGCCTTTCGGAATAAGCCGGGAAGTCCGAAAAGTATTGTTATTGATTGTCGTCCTTTCGAAAATCTTAAAAAATAGCCTGGAGAAGCACCAAGTAAGAGAGACCAAGACAGAGAAATGCTGGTCTGAAACTCGAGGTGCTCATGGTCATGGTCTATGGCACAGGACCTGTGTCTGGCGGCCACCTGAACCCTGCCGTGACGCTCGCTTTGGCCTGGTCCGAGAAGTTCCCGCCACTGTGCTGAAAGCCGAGCGCCCTAAACTTCTAGCCCTCGAACCCTTCAACCACAATCTCTAACCGACTCTCATCACCCAATCACACGCATTGGGGACAAGTTCCCCACATCTACAGTACGTGGCCACGATTCACCTCCAGCCCAGAAGCTGACCCCTAAACTGAAAACCCCAGCTCAGCTGGTTTGTACGTTTCTACGCCAACCGAGGTGGGAAAAGGTGCCCGTCTACTGTGCGACCCAGATCACGGCCACTCCCTCGGCAGCCACGATGCCCCACGAACCCTAAAACTATTTGTTGATCTTTCTTTCTGTCATTCTATAGATGGATCTCTCTATCCGTCTTTTCATGCATCTAGATAGCCAGCATCTACGTACATACATACATACATACATACATACATACATGCATACATGCACACATGCATGCATACATGCATCGAAACATATATGCAGGATTGCTTATGCATGCGCTGTCATTTTGCGATCTTTATGTGACTGTCTAAGTTGAGTTACAGTACAGAGACGAGAGAGCGGCAGAGGCAGAAGCAGAGGCAGAGGCAGAGACAGAGAGAGATGATATCGTGTGTCGTATCGTACCGGATCGCACAATGAGCATGCAATGACAATTTCTGTATGTTATATGGTGCCGTAGTTACTTGTATAGTATGCCCAAGGCTTTTGCATAGGCCCCGTGCAAGCTGAGGCCGGCATAGCCGCCGGCAGCTGCGCAGCCAACCTCTTCGGTCTCGAGACTGCTTCGCCTCTTGCACCCCGCCGTCACAGAAGGGGTTTAGCGCTAAGGGGTGGGCGGGGGGTGGGGCATTGCTGTCAAGAGTATAGTCTAGGGAGTCGTGTTGCAGGAATCATAACCGCTGGGGGAGCTCCACTTGCTTTCGCTGCGAAGGAGGGCAAAAGCCATCAAGACATCCGCTGCATGCAGTGTATACAATATTGACATAGAGGTGCACTTTGTCAACAATATTCGATCGTTTTTGGAGATTTATTTTGGCGCAGCTGGCTTACGGCAGGCGCAATTTGGCTTTGTTGGCTTCTGATGCGTTTTAGACGGAGAATACTTCTGGGCTTGGTGGCTTCGCGGCTTGCCAGCAGGGCGGCTTCTTGGCTTTGTAGTTGCTTCGCGGCATTCCTGCATCGCGGGTTCTTCGCTTTGCTGTTTTCCAGCCTTGTCCCCCCTTGCCTCTTTGGCTCCTGCCTTTCATGCCTTCCTCCTTGCGCATTGGCTGATGCCAGCCCGCAATAACACTTCGCATAAAGCACTTGATACATGCATACATACATAAATACACACCTACAAAATTTCATGCACACATACACGTGTGTGTGTGTGGATGATTGTTGAAAGTAGTGTGTTATGTAGTTACAGCATTGTGATGCATGCTATCCTGTATTTTGTGATCCATTAAATGTTGCGTTCGATGCGCTTGCATCTTGTGTTTAAGATTGTTTGTGGTAGCTTTATGTTTTGAGATTTCGCGCTCCCCTGTAGGTCGGTACATTGCATCATATGTTATGGTCGATGGCCTAGTTTGTCCTACTATTCACATGTTGCTCGCCCTCTCCTCAACACCATCTGAAGCTAAGAAGAACGAGCGCAAGCCATGCAAAGCCAGATGTTAAACTGCTCTCCATTGGGGGTGGGGCTCCTAGAGGCTTGTGCGATAGGAGAAATCGGCAATAGCAGGGAATACGAGTAATGAAGCAGTCAAGCGCCTGAACCATGCCGAAGACACGCCAACCAAAGCCCGCTCAAGACTTCTAGGGGGGTGGTTTTGTTGGATGAACGTGGACCCTGCGCGCCCCGCCCTATGCACTGCGGTCAACATCGTCCCTTCCTCGAGGGTTTAGCTCCTCGGTGGTAGCACCGGTCGTGTGAACGCTAAGCCCTGATCTCAACCCCACACTACTCACTAGCCGTGTGTGTCCTGCACCTGTGAAACAATTTAAGCCCGACCTTGTTGAGATTGCTTTGGCTTGCTGGCCACAAGGGGTTGGATGCGGCTGGCAGGAGCTCCAAAATACGAGAGCCAATCAGGAGTATTCCATTTACAAGCCTAGGGGAGGTAATCCGGTACGGGGCCCTCAATTGACGGGTTTGGGATGATATTGGTTTGCTAGATTGTCCTACCAGGCTCCAGTCGGTGAGTTCACGTGGCCTTATGCCTTCTTCGTGGAGGCAACTTACACCTTCATGCACCTCGGCTGACATACAGAAGCCGGGAGTTGCACTGTCTACAATGACGACGGCCAGCTGCAAAGGCTTGCACCGGTATTGCCCTCAAATCGGACTTGCAGTCTCCGCCTGTCCTCTCAGGTCATGAAAATCCCAATGAAACTGCAAATCATGCGTTTTAGATCCTGCCGCCTCGATACCGACCCCGCCCCCCCATGTGCCCATCCGAGGCTTTGCTTTGTGGTCCTGAACACAGCAGCATCGAAGCGGAACAACGAAAAAGGCCGGTCACGGCTGAGCGAAGCCATGAAAGTCTAGAGGCTCTTGCAAAGGAAGGCAAAGCCAGAGGCTTTGGGGTGTAGTGCGCAGGGATGCGCAGGGTAGCATAGCTCCTGGTGATTAATCGGGTTAGGGCTTTGCACGCAATTTTAGGAACATGGCATTATTACGGCAGACACTTTACGGGCACATGGGCCAGAGAGGTGCCAGGTTCGGTCGCCGCTGCGGCTACAACAATACCTACATTTATTTTGCATCAATGGACACAGTGGCTGCACCCCACAACTCTTGCTCCTTAGGTCCATGAGCCATGAAATGCTGTCCCACTTCCCCGAACCCCACGCAAGCCTTAAACCCCGCCATACGCCCTGATAGTGCCAGATTTGAAGGCGATGGCAACCAGTTCTTCGGTTTGGCCATCGGCTTTGTCATCATTGCTGGCGGCTATGCCTCCGGAGACGTTTCAGGTACCCAGAAATCACAGGGTGTCGCGTTCACTTCGAAGAGCTTTCTGTTCGGTCCTCGGAGTTTGGGCTGAGGCTTCTCTCCTGCCCTGAAGCTGCGTATTCGTTTTCAGGGTAACCTTGTTCTCTGAGAGGCCTCTCAGGTTCAAAGGTCAGCTGTTAACTTACAGTCAGTGTTCTGTGAGCCTTGCACAGGTGCTTGCTTCAATCCTGCTGTCGCCTTTGGCTTGGACTTCTCCAGCATCAACTCTGGATGCTCGCCATAGAAGGGCCTGACTTCTGCGAGTCTCTTAGGGGGCCGAGCAATCGGGGGCCACACTCTATTCGGGGGTTACGACTCTCGACAATGCCCGAAGCGACGGGTCACGCAAAGTTCAGCAGACAATTTCTGGTCTCCCATCCAGAGTCGAGTTGTATCTTTCAGCAAACGGCTTGAGAACCTCCTGCAGCCGAGGAAGCACCTTCAAACGCCCTAAAGGCCCTAAGCTCTTAACTAAGCTCTCGGGCTTGGCAGAAAGTGTGTCTTTCTCATGGGTGACCACACGCGTTGTTTCGCCATGTCCCATGGTCTCCTTCAGGAATGAGCTGGGGCTTTGGGTGGACGGGCATGGAGATTGCAGCTCGTCACTGTTCAGTCGATCCTGGCCTGCTTAAGCAGAGGTCGGAGTTCGGCATGTTTCAACGTAAAAGCATTTCGGGTTCGCACGTTTGAACATGTTTAAACATTTTGCGGGTGCCTTGTGATTCAACATTTGTATGTGTGGCTGCCTGCAGTAGTTTTTTGTTCCAACAGGCTCTTAAAAGTAGCTCCGTGTCTTATGGAAATTACCGCAGCAGTGACACTGCTTCTCATACCTTCCGAAGTGCTGCTCCAACGTTTGAACGTTAAACTTAAACCGTGTAAACAGCCCAAACATCCTGCTTCTCATACCTTCAGCAGTGCTGCTCCACCGTTTCGAACGTTTAGACGTTTCAACCATTTAAACGCCTCAAACGTCCACCTTCAGATGTGCCGCCCCAACGTTCAATTTAAACGTTCAAACCGTTTAAACGCCCCAAAAGTCCTGCTTCTCATACCTTCAGAAATGCTGTTGCAACATTGAAGCCGTTCTAGACCGTGTAACCGTTTAAACTGCTTTAAACTAAGTGCTCCAGGACTTAGATCCTTGGTAGTTTCAATGTACGTAATTGCCTCATGTTTACAGGCTTCGGTGTGGGCCTTTGCGCTAGCAGCAAGGTCGAAGGTGAAGTCAGTGTATGGTACAGTTCAGAGTAGAGATGTCAGAACATGTGTGTGTTTAAACGTTTGTTTGTTTAAACCGGTTGGCGCTTAACCAGCTTTTGATTTAGACACTTTATATACAGTTTAAAGACTTCTGCTGCGGGGTCAGTTTGTTTAAACATTCCGGCGTTAAACAAAAAGTGCCTAAACAGTTTAAACATAACCCCGTACCCAACCCGGACACAAACTTCAGAACCTCAACTACTCTAGTGGCCTTAATGATTAGATAGGATGTGGAATCAAGGAGCCCCCAGCGAGCAATTGTAATTAGTTGGGCCCCTATACTGGGCTCACCCAGCGTCGGATCCGGAGCGCTCAGAGGAGCCTTTGACCTTGCGCATGTCAGTGCCTATAATATCTATATATATATATCATATGTATATATAAGCATGTATGTACATGCCATCTATCTTTTCATGTATCCATCTGTCTATCTATCTATCTATCTATCTATCTATCTAACCATTTATCTTATCTTGTCTTATCTTATCTTGTATATCTAACTATTTGTCTATCTTATATTTATCTTGTCTTATCTTCTCTTAGCTTATCTTGTATGTCTATCTATCGATCTATCTATAATCGGCTATAGTATACACTATACAGTATATAGTATAGAGTAGTATAGCATAGTATGGTATTGCATAGTATGGTATAGTTTAGTCTAGTATAGTATGGTATAGTCTATTCTAGTCTAGTAGAGTAGAGTACAGTATAGGTATAGGTTTCATGGCTTGGGGGAACCGTGATATCAACAATCACCCACGGCTCTACGCCCTCAGCCATGCGAAAGCCTGTCCCCAAAGTTCCCAACCCCCCAGCAACTCTCCTGAACTTGGGAACTACCCCAAACTACTTTCCAAATACCCAGTAATTGTGAGGATGAGGGCCACAAGGTCTCAGTTGAGGGCACCTTCGGGTTTCGGGTGAAGCCCAAGAAAAGCTGACCCTTTTCTCACGGCGCCGTAGCTCGAACCTCAAAGTCACCAAGAGGGATCCCTCGGCCTGCAACCCAAACCCCCTCCGGGCTCATGGGGTTTAGGTAACCGAAGTCGAAACCGCGAAACGCCTAGCTCGACATTTGGATCCCACATCCCTACCCCCGAAACCATCGCTTTGAGCTGCGAGCCGTAAACTCCTAACCCCGCACCCTGAACCGAAATCTTATGCCCATGAAAGTACCGGTACCATGATAGTATATAATTTAGTTTCAGCATTATCATGTTCATTTCCACGGCCGCGGTACTTATCATGTTCATTTCCACGGCCGCAGTACTTATTCTATTCATATAGTAGCAACACTAAGCGATGCCCCCTCCCAGTTCGGAGCCGGGTGCGCAGCGCTGGCATTCCGCTTTGTCCGGCCCGAGGTGACAAGTTAAATGCAGTTAAATCATGAACTGTGGGTTCCTTGAAGGGGCATTCGAGTCTGAGGAGTTTAGGGACTTAGGGTCTGGGCCTTAACACGGGTTCAAAACAGACGGGCCTCCACTTTCGAGGTTTAGAGGGTCTGCGGGGCTTGGGGTTTGGGCTTTTGGTATAGTATAGTGTACTTTAAGGATCTTTGGGCCCTGGCAGCTTTAGTACTGTGGAGTCAATGGTCTGATGAAGGCTTGGCTTCCGGTGGGTTCAGTTTCAGTGGCTTGGATGCTTCGAGATGGATGAGGAAAATATCAGCTGCAGTGGCGAGTATGACAACTCCTGAAGACTTGTCGTTCTGCTGCAGGAGAACAGGCTCCAACACCATTTTCTGCTGCATCACCCACCCGAGGCGATGGTAAACCCAAATTACCTTAACCCCAATCCCACGATGTTTCAGTAGATGGTTTCAGCTGTAGGCCTGTGCTGCAGTCTGAGTGTATGTGGGATAGCGGGCATCGGGATACCGCGTGTGTGCAGGACACCCCAAGCCCTGAATCCCTAAGACCCCCAACCTAGGCTCCAACACCCGTAAAACAAAGAAACAAACAAACAAGCAAACAA